ACTGGTTATGGTTACAGAGACCTGGCTAATCCCGGATGTATCGGACGCACATAATACAGAGTATACAGACAGGACAGGGCCTATAAAAAAGGAGGCAGAGGTTTTATCTATGCGTCAAGAACTATTATTATTGACAGCCCAAATTCCGAAACAGACAAAACCCCTGGATGTGTATGGATGAGCACAACCATCAGTGAACACAAGCCCCCCACCTGATGTTTATACAAGCCACCAAACACTTCCATATCGGTTGATGAGATCATCCACGAAACATTCTAGTACACCACCACCTTGCGCTTCGATTCTAAGGTAATCTGCAGTGACCTCAATCTCTCTGGAGTAAACTGGAACGCATGCAGAGGCCCCACAAACCATAACAAACTCCCAGCAGCCATCGACGCGAACGGTTGGCAGCATTACATGCTCTCCCCCATGCGAAACAACAACACTCCTGACCTGATACGTTGTCACAACATTGAGCCATTGTCCGTACAGGTGGGAGAAAAATTTACGAATAGAGACCATAGCACTTCTAGTAGCTTGCGAAGGTGCCTGCGAAGTAACACCGAAGTACTGCCAATGCAAGGACATCGAGGATGCTGACTGGGAGCTCCTCCAGACACTTGTAAGCTGCTCCGATTGCGGAGACTTCTTCACTAGCGGTAATCTGTCGCAAGCCCTCGATGAATTTCACCAGACTATTAGTTTCGCTCAGGAGACAATCACACTCACCAAACTTGGCCTGAGAACAGCTTTATATTTAGATAGGAAAACTCGACGCAAACTGAGGAAACTAGGAAAAAAGTACTTTGTTTTGAATCAGAGACATAAAATATTCCTTTCAATGCAAGAAGGACACCGAATAAAAGGGCTGGTTGAAGACCGTAGGGCCGTAGATAATTTGTCCAAAAAGCAAAATCTTTGCAGCATCCCGCAAAAACGAAAAAATACAAGACATTTTATTAAATGATTTGGGGCATAAAGGCATAGGTTACCATAATCCACAGGTGATTTGTGAACTTCCTAGTTAGTGGTTTCTTAGTAGTGCCAACACACCCCTAGCTGCAGATATCGGGATGGCCAGTACAAGTAGTAGTACGATGGGTACCATAGAATTCAGCGTCAATAGCATTGACGGTGAGACTGATACCCTAAAAGCAAACGCTGACTGCAAGACAGACGAGATATCGTCAATAACTTATTGAGAGGCTGGCATGGGTATGGCAGTTTTATTATCCAAAATATTTACCCCTCATCAGATTCTGGGACGTATCCTGATAAATGGGAAACTACTTATATACTACCAAAACATAAGTCAGGAGCCAAGACCAGCGTTAGCAATTACACACCAAGTACTGTAACCCCGATCATCTCAAGTATCATGGAAAAGGTGATTAAAAATCAAATTTCTGATTACCCGCTTGAATCTGACTATATCATCTTGTTACGATGTGGTTTCCTGAAAAGATCTTGCACTACAAACCTGTTTGACATTTTTAACGATATTACCGGCAGAAGAGATCGGAAAAAGAAAGTGATAATACTTTACTTCGACGCCGCTAAAGCCTTCGACAGGGTCCCACGCAACTCGGTTAGCAGCCGGCTAAGATCCCTTGGAATCTGTAATCCGCTCTTAGACTGGTTAAAATGCTTTCTGCGTAACCGTTACCAAACAACAAAAGTTGGTTCAGCTATCTCAGAGATTAAGCCAATAACCGGTATTGTCCAGGGCAGCGCCTAAGGTCCTAAGGCAAGCCATTATATGCGGATGACCTAAAAGTAGTATACACATGCCTTAGCAGTGACTTGGCCTTGACTATCAGCTCTACCCAAGAGAAACTAAGATATGTTAGCAAATGGTTCAACACCTGGTGACTCGAATATAACACAGAAACATGTGTTTGGATAGGCATAGGTGCGAGTACACTCCAACTAAACTTAATGATAGCCCAGCGTTCACTCCCAAAACTGAAGTCGATACAAGACTTAGGGCTTCAATATTCTCACAGCCTAACCTCCTCTGAGCACACATTCCCAAAGGTGTCGAAATCACGTAAACTGGTGGGTTTCTTATTACGGAACTTCTATAGTACCGAATCTTGAGTTATTTTGTATAAAACATGCGTCCGACCAGTGATCGAATATTGTATGAGGGTTACGGATAGACGGAAAGCCGGAGGACTGCAGAGGTACTTTACGATGGGGATACTCAACAGGAATAAGGACGTGAAATATACCACCAGGTGAAACATCCTAGGACTTGAATTACTACGGAAACGAAGACTGAGAATGAACCTAATACTGTTTCATAAGCTCCTTAACAGGCTAACTTATAGTACGTGCGCAGAAATGTGGTTCATAAACAAAACTGCATGCGGATTAAGAAACGTAACTTCGACAGTAGCAATTGAGCATTTCAAAACAGTCACTAAGGCAAATTTCTTTGTGATAAAATTTGCTCAGATATGAAACAATTTACCTAGGGAAGCATGTGAATCAAACACTTTGAATAGGTTTATAAGACAGCTAAACCCTACACTACAGTACAGTGCCATAAATGCACCACCAATACTGCTACTAAAACCACGAGAGATCGTACATACTCACTTTTCTACGCTCGCACTATCAATATTGGATTGGAATATTGGACACTGGAACCTTGGTAGACCGTAAGAATGAACAGGTTTCCGTACCAGAAGCTAACTTCTAATTTCAGAGAATTAATAATGGGGAAACTAATAAAACAATACTTCAGCATCGTGAAGACTCATAGATCTAATGTCAGTCTGAGGTTTTGGAGAGTATTTTGGTTCCAAGGTCATGTCCAGAATATTTTGCAGATCGTTGTCACGCTTATGGTGACGACGTTTGTCAAGATTTGGAGCTGTTATACTTAGTGAGGATAATAGCCTAGTTTGGCCTGTATTAATCCTTGCAGTACTTTTCTTTATGGAGACCTATCCTTTTATTTGGATTTATTCAATGATGAAACTGATATAAATTGTTTGGACAAAAGTTCTGGTCATTGATCACTCTGTATGAGAAGCGTAAACTCACATGAACTCGAACACCATGATATCCACAGAAATCTAGGACTTATCTCTGACATTCTAGATTCTAGTGCCAACTACAAGGGAATGGCGGCCAGGGAGAATACTATCACACTCTCTAAGAAAGCAAATCGGAGTCTTAAACCTTGAATTGTTCCTCATTTTATTTAGAACTTACATTGGACTGCAGTTAGAGTTATTCAATGCGACACTGTCCCCTCTTTTAAGGAGAGATGCAAACACTCGAGAAGTTGCAGAGAAGGGCGACAAGATCATTTGTTGAACTAACAGGCTAAGCATATTCCCAATGCCTTAGATAACGCGACCTTTTCACTTTGAACAATCGATCTATTTTGCTATTGTTACTAGTAGTACATATTTTCAATCGGCAGTTTTCATTTTTTTTTCCTGTCATTCTCATCTCGTCCTATTTTTCTCACTACGTTTTGAATAATGCTTAGTACATACTTACAGGTTCCTCATCATCATAAATATCAACATAGGAGCAGGTATTACTGTGCAACGGCCCAAGTTGCCACAAATCATGTTAGCACAAAAAGTAACAAAGTAGTGAGATGACGGATTTAGAAAGAGAGAAAAACTGGTCCAAAGCAGTAAAAGAGAATAAGAAATGAGAAGATCTCGAATTCAGTATAGCTATTGAGGTTAAGATAATGTATGGATAAATCTGCTTCATTGATAGTCGCAAAAAGGTAAGCTGTTGTTATCAGCAGATCCATTGCTCACCCAAACAAACCAGCCTACACTGCAAAATAAACCTCCAAAAATATACGCAGGCAAACTCAAAAGGCTTCTTTGACCACCGAAGAAGTACAACTAGGTGGAAAATGACTAACCCTTAAGACCTTGGAGGGAGAGTTCAAAAACTACAAGTTTCTTCTACTCTATCCACACTATCAGCTGTAGATGTTTCAACCGCGGCTTTTGGACTTTTTTGTTGCGTCCTCGAAGATAGTCGGTTCTTGAAGGATAAAATAAAAACAAGAAAGGAATTTCAAAGTCATAGATGAGGCTGCAGAATGCTAATATTTGGTCTACTCATAAAAAGTCCTCATTGAGTAAATTAGACAAATCAGCCACTAACCTAGTACAAAGTCTGAACGCTCTCCAGTGCTTTAGCATCTTTTATAAAGCAAGGACTGGCCACAAATGCGATGTTGGAGATAGAGTCGAACAAACATCGGGTACAATATCCGAAACATTTCATCAGTAAAGAAATTACGAAGTCCAAAACCGTTTTGCTGTTGCTTCGATATAGTGTGCAGATATCTTCAGGTTATGGTTCCATCTTGATCTATCTATTTGCATTCACTCTACCACCTTTACTTTTTTCCAAACTAATCATATCCTAGCTAAGATTGAAAGTTTGACTAAGAAGTCCTTCAGTATGCATAATACATGACACTAGTCGTTACAAGTTCACAGTCTTACCGACTTAACTTCTCCACACTGAACCCTAATACTACTCCTTTTGTTTTTTTTACTCTATAGTAGAAGTACTTCAACGAAAACTGTTTAATCTGAATCGTGAATTTAATGTAGCATCGAATCGAGGCCATTTCATTAACCCAGTTGTTTAACAACACTATATTTCTAACAAAATATTTTTCTAGTAAACTCCAGCTTATACCGGGTTTGCTTTCATTTTTAGGTCGTCGAGATCTATTTGCCATTCTTGTCATCTAGTCTTTTCTAAAAACTCACGATTCAAGTCACGGAATCCCTGCATTTGGCAAGCATAAGAAAAGTGGAAGACTTACCACTCTTTGTGAAGTGATTTTGTCGATTAGAGCTCTCCAAGAAGTCAACTGGGATTCAACTTTCACTCCACTTCTGGACAACTTGAAACTTCAGTCTCCACTGATTAAGTCAACAGTTCCTAGAAAGTAATTCCGATATTATTGCATTTTGCAAGCCGAAAGCAGCGTAATGTCCATAGGTCTTCTTAAGCTCATCATTACTGCCATCTTAGTTGCAGTAAATGTTGTTTCTTCATCAATTGCATTCTACGTTGGTGTTAAGGGTGTGAATGATGGCAAGTTGTCAACTCCATTTAGCGTTGGGTTCTCTCTTTTAAACCATTTTTCTATTGGCCTGTTCTTGGGAATTTCAATCTTAGGTTTATACAGTAGTTCAGCTGCTAAACTTCAAATGATCCAAAAAGAACTTCCAGATCATAATGCTTTCAAGTACTACCCTCTTCCAGAAACAACTTTGTGTCTTGGAGTTTTCTTCCTGTTTGTTTCTGAATGGTGTTTACAGAGAATTACACACAGTGTATGCAGTTCTGGTGTACAGAAAGGTCTGAACGGCAACCCTGAAATACAGAGGCCTTTAGAAAACATTTCTCATGACCACTCTCGTTTCTTCGAGGATGAAATCGAGTTGTTAGTGGAGTCCAAAAGTTGTGATTATAATTCCGAAAGAAGTGACACAGAAGTACGACATCCACCAGCTCGTCGAAGTAAAGCTGAAAAACAAAGTTTTAGCCTTGGGAAATCAGTAATACTTAGCTGTGCGCTTGGCTTGCATTCATTTTTTGAAGGACTTGGGTTCGGTCTGTTAGATTCTTTTGATCAGGTAGGTTTTAATGTGTTTTTTTAACTGTAATTCACATGTAATCATAACCCAAATCCACTAATTTGTTTCACTGACCACGTACAGTTTTGTGCACTAGGCAGTTGGTCACACCTAATATGTACATGCTAATGATACTACCTCAGTACGCAAAGCGCGTTATAAATATACGACGTAATGGTGGGGAGTTGATTACTTAATCCAATCAGCCACTGCTCCAGAACTATAACCTATCTGACTATATCTCATGCACTACCTTGGTAGGGTAGTACCTTGCTTAGAAAGTTAACAATTTGATGCTTAATGGGGAGTAGAGAGAAGTTCGTACTATTTTCCTCTAGTCATAGGATCTGTATATGCCGACCAAATATACTTAGCATACCAATTAGTCTTCCCATCGTATCTTTCCCTATCCCCAACCAGGACAACGATTGGTCACCAAAGTTATTTTAGTAAGTAAACGTTATGAATAAGTTGTACACAGCGCAACAAAAACAGCCTGATACATTTTATAATTGCTTCTGTTTCGAAGTCACTCACTCTTCAATTAGCCAGTCAAAGCTATGTTGACTCCATGTTTCAAATAGGTGTGATTCACTGCCCAGTATACATGTTAATGCTGTCTTTGACTCATTTATTCTTTGTTTGGGGTACATGACCGTGGGTACGCTTCCATATTTTAATGTGAAATAACCTTAATCGCGTTTACGTCCTATAACTCTGCTCGTAAAATTTCAAATCACAGTGAGTACATAGATTTCTAAGTTGGAGAAACCGTATCCAGATTCATACACTAGGCAATGAGTCCCAACCAATTGTGTGTGGGCTAATGAGTATATACCTGGGGTCCCACTTCGATATGTAGAGCGGGGTTCAAACTCCTGACCCATTGCTTGGAAATCAGTCTCACAGACCAACGAGCCATGTGTTAGAACCAAAGTTCTCGCACCGTTCCTCACACTTAATGAGACCATTATGTAAGTAATGCAGAGTATCATTTAAGGCAACCTACCAATTTTTTATTGGCATAAACTGTGTAATTATCAGGTTATTGAAATATCCGGCTGAGAATTCGTAATCAGCTGAATTATTTGTATTATTGTAAATGCAATGCAAAGAAAAAAAGCAACAGCATTTGACACGTTTATAACACAATAACTGAAATAACTGTTCACCCCACTTTATCAATTGAAGGGGTTAGAGCATATACGAGGCCTACCGAACACTGTCTTCTGCAACATAACTTATTAGAGGGAACATGATTAGTTCAAGAGACAACTACACTAAGATATTACACTAACCCACTGAGTTTCTGACTACTCATTGTAGCAGTGGAGAAAAATATAGGCTTCTTGTTCAAGGTCGGTGAGATAACCAAAATGAATAGTTGGAAACTCAACGTGATTTAGTCCACAATCAAGCACTTTGGTGTAGACACGTTTACACCTTATATAAATCGCAATTATCCTATTTTGTCTAGTTCTCTGTTCATCAGGTGGCAACTCAAACTGTTAGACTGTAATTATACTCAGGAGTTCTGTGTTTGTCTTTCTGTTTGAGTAGTCAGTCATCATACTTAACTCTTACAGAACAGACCAGGCTGTGGCGTAGTACATTAATAGTTGGTTGTGACTGATTTTTTGCATGTCTTTCTTTAGCATCATTATTACTTCAAAACTGGGCTGCATCGATTTCTAGTTTAATGATATGGAGTGTGGTGGTTAAATGCACTTACCGCTTCGCTTATTTGTGAAGTTGCATCAACTGCAGTGGGTTAGTTTCTGATGAAATCTCAGCCGGGATACAAAATTCCAGCTTACACCATCTCTGACACCAGCGAGATATGCAAATAAATATCAAAGCGCAAGTATGCCGCTCTGCAGTTCACTCTGTCCTATTGTATGGCTGTAAAACGGCCGTTAAAAGCAGGAGATAAGAAGACATTACAAGCTTTTGACCATAGGTATCCGTGTGGACAATGTACAGGTTAGGTTAAGAGTACTAGGCAAGTAGGCCCATGAAATTGTAAGCCTTTAGTGGCTGAGTTGACTTGGATATGTGTTGGAATGTCGATTCATCGCCTAGCTCAGTGTGCAATGCTTAGAGAAGTTGGATTAGGTTGGAAAAAGACTCAGGATGGGAAATCGTAACGTGGCACCAGTATATAAAGTTTCTGACTGTTAGCCTAAGTCATTTAAAGAGGTGTAAACCCCTGGCTGGGGTCCTGGAGACTAAGATATCAGTAGTTGGAGAATCTTGCTGGTATGGCTGAAAATGAATAACTGGCACAGATGTATTCTATCTTTGGTATTTTCTAAAGCTTGAACATTTTCACTAACCCTCATTTTTCAAATTCTCCTTCCTTTCGTACATTTCTGTCGACTTTAATGTCCCTTTTTCTATTAAATTGTCATTTGCATCCTGTTGGGCAATGTAGCAACTTTAACCGAATCTCTCCTGTGTCAGATTCTACATCCATTTGTCTCTGTCCTACCATCAATATACTTTATATAGTGTGTGTGTGTGTGTGTGTGTGTGTGTGTGTGTGTGTGTGTGCAGTCAATTAATTCTGCAGGAAATCAGTAATTAAATTAATTTTTCTTTCCTAACATGTTACTTTTTTGATTTCAGATTATCAGTATGACTATAGGTATGGCTATGCATCAATTTCTATGCGCAGCCACTCTAGGATTTCGTCTAGCCCAGTCGAGTGTTGCACACACCAAACGTTATATTGCCATTTTGGTGTTATTTTGCTACTTAGTAGTTTTCCCACTCGGTGTTTCATCTGGTAGGAAGTTACATGAAACAGCCTACTCTTCATATCATCATAACATGACATCTCCTGAAACAAATGACACACTTATTTCATCATATGAACATGAACTCACTGGTCATATCATGATTGGTTTAGTGCAAAATTTCGCCGCTTCATCTTTTCTCTATGTTATTCTCCTTGATATCCTTCCTGCTGTATCCTCAATACCGGTGAAAACCACCTCTTTGGCTACTCTTTCTTCGTCGTCTTCTTCTTGTTCTTCTAAACGCTGTAATGTTTCAAAATCTCAGTCAGCTGGAATTCGTATTCTATGTTTCTGCTTTTTATTTTCAGGATTCGTGCTAGTTTCTAGTTTGAGGTTTCTTCATCACAAATAAGTTAAGTATACTCACGATATTTCTGTTATGCAGCAAAAGAAAGACGTCTAGAAGTTATTATTACTATTATTACAGCTGTTGAAGTGTATATTTTTATAATATGCGTTACTGTGTCTTTCAAATTCTTGTGAATATAACTGTATTAAAAACTCATTTGTGCAAGTATCCTCCAGTGTACTTGATTTCGGTCCATTACCTTCCAAGCACTGTAAAATAGAATGCATCGACAGATGACAGTTCATGACCGTTTTTTTTCACTCTCGTTTCCACAATTTTTTCGGTCCTGGAATTGCGTTGATTTGTTTCATAATATTTTTTATTTGTTCACTGTATATTAATAAATAGTTGAAAAGACTGATAAGAATTTCGTCTTGCTTTTAGACACTTATTAAACGTATGCGGTTAGCTGTTTTGTCGTTGATATTGTTTGGTATTTTGACCGCTAAAGTTTATGCAGAAGGTGTATTTTTCTTTCTCAAATAGCACTTTCAAAAGAATATGTTTTCAATCTCTATCGTGGCCTTAATCGATTAAAATGCCTTGCATATATGATGCGTATGTTGAGCTACAGGCTGCCTCGACATCCCGTGTTAGGTGAAGTTGGAAAAGGGTTCAGAGAGACCAGACTAAGACATGGCATCAGTCCACGAAATCTCTTACTGTTTGTCTGATCCATGTGGGGATATGCAGACCACTTGACTGAGGTCTCCGAGACGACAGGAATCAGTGGTTGAGGACCCTTGGTGACATGGCTAAAGATAGGTCACAATGACGCCCCTTCACGTTTTCTCAAGCTTGAATATCCACACTAATCCTTATCTTCAGATTGTTTACTCCGTCACACAACTTTATCTATTTTGATATCACTCCTTTTCTATTCACTTGTTCTTTGTGTACTACTATGAAGTGTCAACTTGAACCGATGCAGTTGTATTCGAGGTTTTTTCTTTGATTTTGTCAGTCAGTCATCTCTGTAGCGGATTTCTTTTTTTGTTGCACGCTAATTTTGTGAGCGATTGTTGAAGCAGAATACCGACATTTTCAAATGGCGAGATAGTATGTTTTTAATACAAACACGAGGTTCATTTCGATTTTGGAGTGTAAAGTTGCGGTCTAATGTTCTAAGCATCTTACTTTCGAAGCTTGCTTCACTTGCCGAGTTTCAGGGATCAGATTTGCATCTTTAGCTGTCATCTAATAGGTATAGCTCTGCGATAGAATATTATATTTTAAACATTCACCTTGAGGCTACTAGAAGTAAGACAGTTTTCACCACTTCATCATGTATTTTTCAAATATTTCTGAGAGCTTTTAACTCTGTCGCCTATCGGCTCATTTTCAAAGTGTTTTTAAGTAAGAAGCTACAAATACAGGGGTGTTTTTCTCATTGTTCATCAGTTTTCAGAAAAAATAAACTTATCATAGTTTCTTCTTTGGGTTTTGTTTTTTTGGTGGCCACACCAGACTTATCGGTTTGGACAGTGAGTCCATCACCGCTCCACCTACCAAGATTTGAGCAGCCAGATAGTATAATTAGCCTTCACGTAATACGTTAGACTCACCACTTGCTGAATGCATATGAGACGACAGGCATCCGAAAAGAATAGTTAATGTAAACTTGTGTTTTGCTGTTGATTGTTCATTTCTGAATCGAGTTGTGTAACTTTACTTTTCAGTTGTATCGAGCGCTCACTCTAGTACATAAAACTGTATGTGGTTTCTAAGCTACACCATTGGTATTCATGTGGTAACTATGGTAACCAAAAACGTGGATTAATCGCCATATATGGATGTTGGTTTGATTCTGATGCTTAAGGTTTTTCAAATTTCATCAGTCAAATGATAGAATATGACAAACGGACAGACAAAATCAAGTTGCCACACTTCACAGTAGTAAACGAAGAACAGGTGGATAGGAAAAGACCGATATCAAAGTAGAGAGAACAGGCGATTTCCAGCCATTTCACCAAGAACTCTCAACCACTGGTTCCAGTTGTCTTGGCATCCCCAACCAAGTAGTCTACACCTCACACCATTCAGACCAACAGTAAGGAACTTCATGGACTGATGCCACTTCTTGGTCTGGCTACCCAGAACCCTCTCCCAACCTAGTCGAACTTCCCGTAGCACGGGATGTCGAGGTAGCCTGTGGCCCGGCATGCACAGACCCTGTCCAAACCATCTCAGTTATTGAAAGTTCACAATCGACTTGCATTTCTTGCCTAGTATCTTTTACCCGACTTCAACATTGCTCTCATGGTGACTCCACCAAACGTGAACGATATTATAGAGACATCGGTGGTCAAAATCCCTTCATATCTTCTGCTTTTAACACCCATTTCTTTTAGCCATATAACAGGACACAGTGAACTGCAATTCAGTATACTCGTCTTTTAATAGGTAGTCGAATATCTCGCTGGTTCCACAGATGACCCAAGTTGGCAAATCCTATGCTGAATGATATAATTTTAAAGTTCAGTGTATCTGATAGTATGAGTGATTTGACGTCTGTGGATAATGATTTAACCTATTCTGAAGTCATCTTGTTGACTTTTTCAAAACATTTCATCTAGTTGTATTTACTTATTGCTGTGGGATAAGTCTACCTTAGAAACGTTTTAACAACTCATGCTCAATTTAGTAGCAGGGTAATGAAATAAATGGTCTGGATTCAAAATTACAACTGGAACATGCTGCCTTCAGGAAGAACAAATCATGTGCGGATCAAATTCCAACACTACGCATCATCATCATAGAACACAGCATAGAATGGAAGTCAACTCTACCTCAACTTCATCCACTTTGAAAAAGCCTTCGATAGCGTTGACCGAGAATTAATTTGGCACCTGCTGCTTCAACACTACGGTCTTAGTGCCACAAACCTTTATCAACCTCATCCAACAGCTATCTGCTATATGATGCTACATGCCAAGTGATTGACAATGGAAAACTCAGTGATGCCTTTGAAGTGAAGAAAAGATTAAGACAAGGTTGCCTACTATCATCACCGGTGGTCTACCTGATTGGGGTCGACTGCACTGGACTGGATCATACAGCAAACCGTGAGGAGCTGTGAGAAGATGGGCATACGCTCGCTGGACCGATGAGAAGACTTGGATTTCGCCGCCGATGATGACTTATGTCCACTGTCTGGTGTCGCACAAACTCGAAGATATACGGGCGAAAACTAACAAGTTGGCAGAAGAAGCGAGGTAACGAAGACAGAACTTCAAGTGAACGTAGAGAAGACAGAGGTGATGAAGATACCCAACCAACAACAGCATCAACAACAATCACCATGAATGGAAGAAATGTAAAGGAGGTAGTCTCTTTCACCTACCTACTTACCTACCTAAGCAGCATCGTTTCAACTACTGGTGGTGAAGGTGGCGGCACAGATGAGGATGTCAAGGGTAGGATCAGAAAGACAGCAAGACAGGCATCCCTTCAATAACCTGAAATCAGTGTGATCTACTGCACTCCACTCAGCATGAAGAACAAGATTAGGATTTTCAACACAAATGTCAAGTAAGTCAGTGCTTCTATGTGATGGTTGAGAGACTTGGCGCGTTGTGTAGAGCACCAACAGCTGCCTACGCTCGTTACTGAAGATCAGATGGTCAGAATTGATAAGAATAAGCAAGGAGGAACTCTAGCTGGCTGGCTGACAACGAACCAACCGAGAACCCATGGCCTAACAAATGTACAAAGGAAAGTGGAGATGGATTGGGCATACACTGAGAAGACCGTTCGGAGACATCACGTGCCAGGCCAGATCGTCGAGTGGAACCCGCATGGGAAACGACGAGTTGGGCGTCTGAGCTGAGGGTGACATGGATGAGATGGTGTGAGGAAGAAATGAAAGCTTGTGGGCAGTCGTGGAGTCAGGATGAAAAGACTGCAGAGAAGAGGGTGTAATGGCGACGTGTTACTGAAGCCGTTTGTTGCACTAGTGACCCAAGGGACAAATAATAATCATGAAAATTTTGACTTTAAGATCCGCATTTTGAGTATCTAATAAAAATAAGTAGGAGTGAATTATGCTATACTTAATCAAACGAAATATCTAGTAGGTTTTCAGGTTAGTAGTGAAACTCCTTTTTATACACCAAACTCGATATAGTATGATAAGTGGTGAAATTTCGTCGAAGACTACTCATGAACAGACAGATACACTTCAGAAAGAAGGAATGACTGAAAACACGTAGATTGTACTTCTACTGTTTGCAGAAGATCATATCGTCAGTTGTTCAACTTGAATGGTGAAATGGTTAGCATCTTCCTGTTTAATTTAACTGAGTTAAACATATATTTCTTATTAATTACTAGATATTCGTACATCATCAAAATTGGACAAGGCATGACTGTCCAGGTTGCCACACTTCATATAGAAACACCAAGCAACAAAGCCCTAAGATAGGAAATAAAGAAATACAGAAGGATGGAGGAATAAGAAAATACTGAATCCAACATGACGATTAAGATGAGGTTAGTGTCCCTATTGATATACACGGTTGAGATCGATTCTGAGCCATGTCACCTAGAGTCTCCAACCGCTGGTTTCTCTTGTTGCTTGGACCCCAGCCGTGAAGTCTACATGGCTGAGACCAAGAGTCAAAGACTTCCTGTAATGATTCCATGTTTTGGTATGACCTTCCTGAGCTTTTTTCCAGCCTAAACCTATCTCAGCCAACATTGCGCGACGAGGTGGACGGTGACTGCACATGCATAATACATATACTAGTTAATGAAGGTTCGAAACCTCATTAACTGAATTTCCCTTTTCTTCCTAAAACCGTACAACTGGTTCTGAATTACTGACATGGTGACCTGTAACCTGTCCTATGAAAACAGTGGTGTTCAGACACCAGAAGCCTTCTCATACCCTCTACCTCTGCCATGTTTCATAGCCATACAGTAGAAAGCGGACTACAACACGGTACACTCCACTCTTAGTAAATGATTGGATATAATT